GATAATATTTCTACTGCTCCAAAGAACCTATATCCCGAAAATGAAAGTTATAGTTATATGCCAACAATAAGTTGCTAGAGCACTTTAAAGGCTCAAAATTGACCCCAAAATAAGGCAATGTTTACCGTTGTTTTTGCGACAGAAACCGAATTGGTTATTTACAAAAATGAATCTGTCGACATGTTTGGAATTTTATCTTTGAAACGCCACACTTTTCTTTGAAATCGCTTTATTAGTTCTCGTGCAATAAGCGTTTTTGTGAAGCTCTAAAAATTACAACTACAACATTTGAACATAGCCCCCATACCTTAAGGTAAGACGTATTCTACGTCAAAAAGAGTCTGATGAGGAGATGTGGTGATCTCCGAAATAGCTGCTATAACTTCTTCCGCTTAGACTTTGTTGCTTTTTCAATTTTTCCTAATAAACAATCGTGGTACAAAGCTCGATAAAAATATTAAAAATAAAAAAAATGAAATGTTTGTAATTTATAATCATGCAGGCAGTCCGATGGTATATCGCGAATTAACTTAAAAATAAAATATTTTTTCATGCTTGAAAAATAAACGAATACGTATTTTTTTTTAATTTTCATAGCATTACTTTTGCATTTTTTTACGAGTTGGGATTTTTTTTAAACCTTGTAGTTTCCGTAATTTTTAAGTTATTTAGTTGCTGCTAAGATTGTTTTTCCCCATTTTTTGTACTTTTTCACCACTGCTCAATGAAAGTGAAAAGTGTTTATAAGCAATAACAATAATACGAATTTCCTGAAAAAAAAAACAAAAACAATGTTTTTCTCCAAAAGGCCACCATCTTTTTTCCCCAAATTTACAGGCGCCCATACGTACTACTTGCCATACAAATTTCTTTCGGTTTTTTTTTTCGTTTCTTAGGAGAAAACAACTAATTTTTATTTTTTCTTTAGAGCTTTTTAAAAAATAAAATTTTTAAGATTTCTAGTTGTACCTTGAATCGTTTTTTTTTTTGATTTTTGAAACTTTTAAATATGCCTTTAAAATTAAATAATTTTTATAAATTGCAATAATGCTTAACTTTTTTGAAGAAAACAAAAATTTGTACTCAAAAGAAAACACGATTTTTCGCCAAATTTTAAGATTTTATACTTATTCCTACAATTTTCGTTTGGTGTTTTGATAAATAGCAGTGTTAGCATTGGCAATTTCTAGCGACTTGAAACTTGCACCTTCAAAACTTAGTGAAATTTGTACTTGAATTTATGTGGTTTATGCTATAGACCAAAATATATTTTAAAAGTAAAATAAATAAATAAACATAATTGTGTTGCAAACAATACCATTTTGAATTTTGCACCTATTATTTTGTCCATAAGTGTATGCAGATATGTGAGGTTGTTTTAGTGGTTGTATTTACGTTAGTTTATATTAGTTGGGCTTTTTTCATAATTGCATGCGTGTGTATAGTGTAGGGCTTTGTTTATACAAAAAGTTTATTAATTGTGTAATTTTTGTCTCATTATCGCTTAGATAAGATATCATTAACTTTTAATTGTTCGGTTAAAATGCTTATGTAAACACTTATGAATATATGTATGTATGTAGCTGTGTGAGCAAAAGAGGAAATTGACCAAGCAAAAATAAATAATACCGACAGTGTTGAACAAAATTGTTCACTATTTCGATTATGGACTTTAGTGGGTTTATTGATAGACCCATTTCAGAGCCAAATTTCTCAGTCAGTTTTAAGGCTGCCTGAAATATGGCTGTAATGTTTCTTTCATTGCAGCCCACCGCGTAGATTACTAGCTTATCTGCATAGCCGCAAGCGTTAAAGCCGTTGCCTGTTTAGCTTTGCAGGAACTCTGCATACTGCCTTCTAGTTCCTACTGCCTTATAGAGACGCCGTTTTTAAATCGATTAAATCGAAGATCGATTAATCGAGCCCTTCCGATTCGACTTTTTGTAGATTTTTTAGTTACGATTCGATTCGCGAGTCGATTCAAAAATGTTGATAATCGACATGCGATTTTTCCTCAATTGATGCATATTGATCTACGGTTTACCTCAGAAAGTCTATAAAATTAAAAAAAAATTTGAATTGTAGGCTGATACAATAATATAATGGGCCATGCCACCTCCCACCTTTCTAACTTGAGAGAGCAAAGACCAAAGAATTCATAACCAGCCTCTCTTTCTCCTCCGACTAAAGGGCTCCTCAGGGAAGCGTCATGGAAATAACTATATAAAATTATGGCTACAAAAACTCCAAAAATCGGAATTCCAAACTGTATGGAATTTTTTTAGGAAAATTTTGCACTCCTTAATTACTGTTTTTAGAAAAAATTTGAGTACACATGCAGCTTTGCACCAAATCTTTTCTAAACTGGGCAAATATAGAGGTAGCGAAAAAAAACAAACAAACTTAAGAGCGTCCGTATTGCAAAAAAAATCGACATATATACAAACATACGTAAGCTCCATTGTATTATACGCTTTTTAAACTAGTGGTTAATTTCGAAGTAAATCATATATTTTTTTTTATTTGTGATTTGTGGTCAGATTGCCGTGTTTTGTTTCTTAGTAAAAATTAAGTAAAACACCTTATTTGATCAAATATATGAATCGATTTTGGGAGATCGATTTATTTTTTTGCCGATTGCTTCCAGCATCGATTATTTTTATTTCGATTCGAATCGACTCAAAAATAGATTTTTTTTTTTAAATTTCGATCTGGCATCTCTACTGCCTTATAGTTCCTTGATTTTGATGCATGCAGTTATTACATTTAGAATATCATTTCTTGTCATGGCCTTGGATGTACTATCAGCTGAAATGTCAAGGAAGTGACTAGGCTACATAAAATGTAAATCTGATAGCCAGAGTTCTTGTCACGAGTATCTACCTTATTTTTCTCTAAGAATAATAATAATAATAGATTGGCGCTTACACATATGTTAGTGTTTGGCCGAGCTTCTCCTCCGATATGTGGCGTGCGCCTTGATGTTGTCACACAAAGCGGAGGGACCTACAGTTTTACGCCGACTCCGAACGGCGATTGTATTTTTATGAGACGCTGTTTTTCATGGCAGAAATACACTCGGAGGTTTGCCATTGCCTGCCGAGGGACGACCGCTGTTAAGAAAAAACCTTTTTTCTATATTTTTGCGATGTTGCTTTGACCAGGGTTTGAACCCAGGCGCTACGGAGTGGAAGCGCGCACTGCTTACTACTACACTACTAAGAACCTTGAACTTATAATGAACATCCTAATGCTTATATGTCTATTGCAAACTTCCTGCAAGCTGCAGACCACTGAACACAAATCAACCTGTGGAACCCTTAGATTTGGACACGCAAAAATCTTATAAGTTGTTTTTGGAATAGTCAATAGACTAAGTTTTTTTAACTTACCACTTGACAGTAGTGAGCTACCCATAGGTCCAACAAAAAAGTCCAATCCCACTGCACCTCAGCCTTCTGACGTTTTTTAGACTCAAAGTGTACACATCTAGGGAGCGACCTATCAGGAACTTCTGGTCACCGTGGTGTCGCCGAACGAGTGACTATATCGGACGGATCTTGCATTGAAGTGATTTCATAAAAGCAGCATATCTGCAAAAAAAAGTTATCGACAGTCGTTTTCATTCCTGCAGCTTCTACCGACCAATGCCCTGTAAAGACCGATAATGTCCTCGCAACGTCAGGTCTAGGATTTCCTAAAGGTCGCGTGCTCTTTTAGGGTTGTATGCGGGCCAGATGAATGAGTTTGGCTTTATGCCTTGCACGACCTATAACCTGGATTCGGAACCTTAACTTAATTTATTTCGAACTGACTACCAACTCTATTCGAAAGATTTATACACTCATACATAATCAGCTTCAAGGCTGTCCGAAAAAATTGGGACTCTCACAGTGCACTGAAGTGTCGTAAGCTATTGAGCTCCATGTTTTTTGGGAAGAGTTTCAGAACTCGCTTGTTGCAGCATCTAAAACTCGAATCTCACGGGGTGTTGATGATATGGCGGTTAATGTAACGGCTGCTCTTTTGTTAGCTTCGATAAGGCTTGTCTATGGGTATCATAAGCTACTGTTTGGCATGATTGAAAGGTTCTAGTATATCGAGAATTTACTTAATATAATTTTAATACTTAATTTTAATAGTGAGTCTTTCTTGTCGCCACACTGCATATTTTACTTCGCGTATTTTCATATTTTTATGTTTTTCGCTGTATTTTTCATTGCAGGCACATTCCAAAGGCCAAAGCGACAGTCATTGCAGACACGCCCGAACTGAAGCGAATAGCTGAGAATACAAAAATCCAATCGAATGTTAAATATCACGAAGACTTCGAAAAATCCAAAGGCAAATTTACACAGGTTAGTGAAACAACTATTGCGTAGCAGCACGGTTTATAGAATATTAAATATGTAGATTAAAGTAATTTTAACTCCTCAAATATGTAATTGTATTTTAAAATGAAATTAAAGCTTTTAACTCGTGCAGGAGTATTATTAAGCAATTTTTAAATCTATAAAAAAAATTCACAATTTGCTTTGGCTAGGAATAGTAATACAGAATAGTGGATCACTTTAGCCACTGCAGCAAAATTGGTTATTTTTTTATATAAAAAATATCCCCTTTGACTTCGATTAAATTGTATTTACAAACATTCCTTTAAAAAAATAGGTCGCCGATGATCCCGAAACATTGCGAATCAAGCAGAATACAAAAATCATTTCGAATATTGCGTATCATGGTGATCTAGAAAAGAAGGCCGCTATGGAAAAGCAACGAGAAGCTGCCGAAATAGCCGATGTGCGAGGTATGTAGCAATTTAAAAACAATCTTGATTTATTTGAGGATATTAAAAGTGTGTGGCTTTTTGGCTCGATTTAATAAATTGTGCTTACATTTATAACTTTCATGTGGCAGGATCATACAAAAATTTAAGGAGCTATTAACTTTGTTGTCATTCTAATCCAGTTCATCCCTAAAACACATTTTTGTAAATTTGTGAGTCCTCGACAAGTAGATAATGTTGAAAATTTAGCAGTAGCTGGTTAAATGCTAACGTTTTTTTTTTTGATAAAATTTTAAACTTTTCGAAAATAGGGCAATTTTCTTTATTTACTCTTTATTTTCTAAGATTTTCTTGCGTTTTCTTAAGATCGAATAATGGTGATTTCATTTCTATCAAAAAATGTTGCCTTTTTATTCGTGTTCGATTCCAAATAAAAGGCAAGGGGTGAAAAAATGTTGTGTTCGTTCGTTTCTTAAAATGTCGCACTCTTGTAAGGCAAAGAAGGCACCTTTTCTTTCTGCCCTTTGAAGCTTTGTCAGGGGATATGGTTGCCCTGAAAATCAGATGGTTGCTTAAAACGATAATATCGCACACCTCAAAATAATAAATTCGTCAGAAAATACGAGGGCGACCTTGGGTTTTCCTTTTAACAAATTATAGCAAAAATTTGCTCCAGATTTTGCTGAAAGGTAAATAAAAGCTCTGTGTACATTTTTAGCACATAATTTCAAAAATGCCAAATTTTAAATGAAAGAAATATTTATAAAAACAAAAAAAAAATATGGTACTAAAAATTCAATCACTAAAAAAATATACATATGTACATATATTTAAAACAATAAAATCCAAGAATTAAAAAAAAATAAGCAAGAAATAATTAAATTAACTTATAAAAATTAAATGAAATAAAAAAATGTTTTTTAAAGCAATACAAGTTAAAAATGAAAAGAAAATCAAATTGAAAGAGAAATAAATTTCATTAAAGAAGTACATAAGTTTATAAAAATTAAATGAAATTAAAACAGAAATGATATTAAACAAAAAGTAAAAATCGAAAGCAATTAAATTATGAAAAATAAAAAGTAAATGAAAAAAACAAATTATTTTTTTAAACAATAAATCTAAAAATTACAAAAAAATAAGTTTATAAGAAAAGAAAATAAAAAATAAAAGAAATTTCCAAAAATAAAATCAAATTAAAAAAATATTTCTTTTTAAAACAATAAAGTCTAAAAATTAAATCAAAACAGAAAAAAAGTTAACTGAAAAAATATATCAAATCAGTCTCTAAAAATTAAATGGAAAAAGTATATGCAGTGGTGGGAAAATAAATACAATAAATAAATTTCAACAAATTTTTCCTATTTTTCTTTTGTTTATTTACAAAAAAAAAATTAATTAAAAAAAAATGATTTAAAAAGAAAATAGAAAAAAAACGAAAAAAATTAAATTAAAAAAGATAAACATCCCCTACCCGAGGCTTCGAACCTCGGATCTCTCGAATGGCATGCCAGTCCTTTGCTCACTAAGCCATTGCGACTGTTGGCAGCGCGAGCAAAATAATATTAATCTCCATTTGGAATACTTAACTGCTTAACTGCTTGCTGTGAAAAGAGCTTTTCGCATAAAAGTTGGCAAGAGAGCTTTCTGCGTAAGACTTTCGTTCCAGAATAAACAAAATTTTCAAACTAACTTCCCTATGGAGTTTCAATTGTCTTACAAAAGACTTGCAACTATCTTAGCCAGAATTGCCCCGTAAGTCTTAGGTGGATTTTCATTTAAGTACAACATAGATATTGGATTAGATTTAAATTATAGATTTGGTATAGAGAATTAATAAAAAGTAGTGTACGAAACGAGTGCTAGTTTAGAAACTCTCATCACTATCACCTGCATATCAACAAATACGAGTAATAGAAGTCATTTAGTGCACCATAAATCACTTACATTTGTATCTACAATGATTTTATATGTACATTTATTGGACAATTGTTTATTTTTATTTGTGTTTTTTTTTTGTTTGTGTCATTTTTATTTTCTGTGACATCGTGCATGTGTTGTCCGTTTACGTTTTCATTTCGAACGTTGCACACACAACGAACACCACATACCTACTATCAACCAACAACAATGGTATAATGCAAAACAAAACCACACGAAAAACTCAATACGCCAAACGACAACTGGGAACACAATAAAAACAATCCTCATCACCACTGCCTGTGACAATTGCGAACCATTTATTGTTGGCACCAAACACTCACAACCACACACACGTGCACCTTCATCATACTAATTGCAAATTCATATGAATTTGAATCACAAAAATCGCAATTAAAATTAAAATTTAAAAACTAAAAATTCATTGGGTATAAAAAAAAAAATAAAATAAAAAATTGCATGACAATTCGCTTAAATAAAATTCAGAGGAAACGGAGTATTTCTCTGAAACATTGGCTGCCGAACAATTCTCACAATATGCTCCCACACCACCAACAGCAGCAGCTGCAGCAGCCGCCGCAACACTGCCACCGCCACCAATACAGCACCAGCAACACAACACGGCGGCAATTATATCCAGCAATCAGGCAGCTAGCGCCAGTAATACACACATTTACAGTAGCCAACAACAGGTGGCAGCACAGCAGCAGCAGCAGCATCAGCGGCAACAACAACAACAACAGCACAACACTCAAAGTCACAATCACAGACAACAAACACACGAACCGACACAGCAACAGCAACTGCAACTGCAACAGCAACAACAAACCCAAACACATCAACACCATCCACACTATCAGCCACCACCACAACCACAATCACAACAACACTCACATCAACAGCAAATACACCAACTACAACATCAGTTGTATCAAGCACAACAACAAGCCACACAACAGCAACACTATCCACAACATACACAGCAACAGCAACACCAACACCAACAACATGAACAATATCAACATTACCAGCAGCCACAGGCGCTGCGGCAACAATATCAACTGCATCAGCAGCAATTGTTGAAGCAACAACAGCAGCAACACCATCACCAACACCAACAACAATTGTTGCAACAGCAACAGCAACAACAACCAATTAAACAAACATCACATTTGTATCCAACAGCGGCCGCAAACCATTCATCCCAGCAGCAGCAGCAGCAGCAGCAGCAGCCGCCGTCGAACACCTACAACCAGCTGCGCTCAGCAATTTTGCAGAATTCTCATCACCCAACTGGTGCAGCGCAAGCAGCACATCTCAACGAAAATGTAACCAACGCCGGCGGCGGTGGTGGCGGCTATAGCAGCGGCGGCATGACCAACCATGCAACCGGAGGCGGCGGCACTTACGATCAATACGACAACTACACACGTGCCGCTACGGTCAACAACAACAACTTGACTTATCAGCAGCAACAACAACAACAACAACAACAGGCACAGTCACAGTCACAGTCACAGTCACAAAAAGCCGCCTCTTATCACAGCAACAGCAATTCGGCTAGCGCTGCTAATGCCAACAATGGCGCTAGCGCTGGCAGTGGCAGCGGCGTGCCTCAAACTACACAACAACTATACGCCAGCAACAACTATAACAGTCACTTTTCGTCGAGCACTTCATTGGGCGGGGCAACAGGCAATTTGGCGCATCACAACAGCAACGGCACCGTTAGTACCGGTGCTGGCGTTGGCGGCAGCAACAGCAACAGCAACAGCAATCACTCGCACAGTCACAGTCACACAAGCGCCGGTGGGCTGGTAAATAATGGCAGTGCAACAGCTGTGGCGGTGAATAGCATTGGCAAGATCGCCGACTATGATCCGTTGACCGATGGACCACGTCCCATGCCGAACACCGGAAGACCCAGCACAACGCTCATTTACAGCTCTGATAGTCGCGGTTCGGGTGAGTGTAGCGCTAGTGGTGTAGCGTAAGCTATAAAGTGTAAATATCAATTAACCGTAATTGTGTAATGTAAAAATTGTCTATCAAATACATTTTTATTGCATTTGTCTGTCCGCCTTCAGCAAATCGTTTCATAAAAACAAGCGTCCCGTATATCGCCAAACGTCGCGCTTTGTGTGTCGCATATTTTTAGTGCGCTTTAAAATTTATTTTTTTTTAAGCAATAAGTACCTATAACTGCACTTTGGTCTATATTTTCTTAATCAATCGTTTTTTCGCCCACCATTCAGTGAACAACGCCTACCCGAAGCGTATCGGTTCAATCGCTGACATTGATCCTGCAAATGGCATTTATAGCTCGTTGGCTGGCGAATCGGCATCGCATCATCAGTTACATCAGCAGCAGTCACAACAACAGCAGCAACACCAACAACAACAACAACAGCTATTGCATCAGCAGCAGCAACAGCATGCGCTTCATCAGCAACAGCAGCAACAACAGCAACAGTATTATCAGCAAATGATACAACAACAATCGAAGTCAAGTCTGGTAAGTGAACAATCGTATTATTGGTACTTACAGTCAATCAATAAAGTTTACGAACAGATAGTTTTTTGCAATACGGCAACTAAATATTTAATTTTTCGCTAATTTTTTATACAAATATGGTTAACTAGTGAACCCGCATGGCGTTAAAACGCCCAAAATTGAATTTCAAAAACCTAAAAAAATATTCCAAATGTTAGTCAGAGTTAGAAAAGATCCGAGTGCCATATTTCATCAAATCGTGCAGCCGTTTCTGAGTGAAGAGCAGTCACGCATAGTGCATGTTTTTATTTGCATCGAATTTAAAATCACCCTGTACCGATGAAAAAAGTTCTTAATTAAAAAATATAACTTCATCGTACATCTACAGGATAAGGTCTCTAATTTTACCTCCCATTTGTTGAAATTCATTTTCAAAAGTATTCTCAAAATAAAATCGTCTTAAATCAATAAACTGATGAACTAATTCGAGTTTGATTGTTCGAACAAATGGCAACCCTTCTAAATAAAGGCCAGGAATAAATCATTTTGATTTATACCCATCCTTTAATAATTCACCCAACTTACTGAATAATTTGAATGCAACTTTTTAAACACGTGGCCACTGTCTTCAAACATTTTTACGGTATTTTTATATTTAATATATAGTTTTTGAATTAGTTAATTAACTTAGACCTTTCAAACAGGTGGCAGCCCTCTTCAAAAGTATTGTCAAGCTTAATTATCGTTAATCCTCCATCCCCGCACACTGCGTTACATATTTTAATTAACTGATGAATTAAGTGGAATGCTAAATACAGTTAAGAAATACAAATTTTTCAAACCCCCTTCGATTGATGCCCATTTTTTAATCGCTCATTTAACTTATAAAATAATTTGAATTTAACTTTTTAAACAGGTGGCAACCCTCTTCCAACACCTCAGAGATATTCTTAGCGTTCAAAACTAAAGATTTCTTAAGACTCCTTCGTAAACTAAACTCGACATTTCCTACAGGTGGCAACCCTCTTCAAAATATTTTCAAACTACTACTTTCTACAAGAACGATAGAATACAAGATTGCGCATTCCCGCAGAATGACATTTGTGGCAACGGGTAAACAAAGAACATGGCGAAGAACAATGAGTTGACAGTTGTGAATTTGCAGTGAGAAAACGTGTTTTCTTCTCGATTCACCAATTTCTCAATATAGCAAATTAAGCACAACGTTAACAAAAAATATACAACCACTCTTGAAATGTGTTCAAAAGAATAGGTCTTATTAATTAACTATTTAGAATCTTTGTGTTTGTATTGCAGGTGCCGAAAAAGTGCTAATATCTTGTCGCAGCGCATGTTTTCCTGCAGAAAGTGGTCGATGCTTGCTTACCTCCGATTTTAATTTGTAATTTGTGGTATTTCAACGTTTTTAACTTAACATGTCGTGTTTAAAAGTGGTCCGTAAAGTGCTTCATGCATATTACGCTGGTGTCTAAATTGTATGGCTTCTCCTGCCGGCAGAACTCTACCCACTTTCTGGCCAAGGCGTCGTCGCGGGGAAACAAAAAAAAACTGCATTTGGGGGCTTTAACCCTACGGCTGCTGCAATTCAACACACGACACGACATTTTTATAAAGTTTTTATTACAGATAAAACGTTTTTTACTTCAGAACGCAGGAATTACTTCGATTTTTCACTTGAAAGTACACAATACGTTTGCAATACATTTGCACTTGTTTCTAAACAAAAAGTTTGTTTACGTATTGCCATAAATGTCAAAGTCGGCAAAACCAAAGTAGCGGTTTCGGGAATGCGCCACCTTCAGTTCATTTCACCATGTACTTTCTAAAACCCCTTTCGTGTGTCACCCATATGGTGATAAATATTTCTCTTACCTAATATGATTTTTAAACAGGTGGCAACCCTACTATAGTTCAGCTAGGAAACAAAGCTTTTCAAAACCATTTCTTTTGATACCCATTTTGTAATAATTGATTTATTTTTTAAAATAACTTGAATATAATTTTTTAAAAGGTGACAAAAAAATAAAACCTTATTGCACATTAAGTATGAAATTCCACAACATTTCCAACTTCTTTATGTACCTTCTTATCATATGCTGGACTTTATGGAGAAAAATCCAGGCATAGCCAAAGGTTTCAGACACTTATCAATGTTGATAAATCTGGCTTTTGACCGGTTTTATTACACAAATACTCCTATGTGCGACGTTACAAAAACTCTTAACTAAATAACTTTTAGAAAGTTTGTAGAAAACAAATGTTAATGCATTTAACTTCTTTTATACAAACCTAAGCATGCCAAGGAGACATTAATTTAAATAACCAAATTGAAGTAACGTAGGGATGAGGATGCAAATTTGATTAATATCTACTTATTCTACGCGATTATAGGTGAGAATAAAACAATGAAAGAATATTCTTCCACCTATTTTTCCGAAAAATAGTATAATAGTTTTGAATTTTTATTAAATACATACCCCTACTAGTGCTTATAGATTCATTGTTTTTTTACTGTCCTAATTCAGTGATCGTTTGGAAGTATGATTTTCAAATGAAATACGGATTTTCGTAGACTTCAAGTTCCTAGATTCACAAAAATTCAAAGTTTTTTTTTTTAGAGCCTACCGACCTTTCCCAATTTAATAGTATAAGTATGTACATACTTAGCAATGGGCTTACGACGAGCACCTTCTATTTTAACGAATTTATTTAATTATATGCCCTTTCTCACTCTTCCACAGCGTGTCTACCGTGCTCTATACGATTACGAAGCCCAAGATACCGATGAAGTGAGCTTCCGTGAAGGCGATGTTATATTTGAAGTAGAATCAGCCGATTCTGGTTGGATGACCGGACGCGTCGAACGCACTGGCAAAACCGGTATGCTGCCCGCCAACTATGTGGAGCAAGCCGTTATATAATAGGGAATGTTATATTATTGTTGTTGTCATCACCAATTTGTTGTAATACTAATTTGTATTCTTTATTTAGTAGTCGTATTAATATTCTTCATTAACATATTTATAGCTGATAGCAATAATGATTATGAGAATGAACACTTAAAGAATTTCGATGATGACAATTATCACAGCCACAATCACCATAATCATCATCAACATCATCATAATAATCATTATCATGAGCCACACAACTCTAGGGACATGAAATCCACTACTAATCAAAAGCCGAGCAATCAACCGCAAGTCGAGACTGATTTTTATTATTACTTTAATCATGTCTTTTGATTTTGTCTTTTTACATAATTTCGGTTTTCATCATCTCTACGCCAAACGAATTTCATTTAAATTGTGAATGAACGAATTGAATTGAATTGAATTGGATTGGCCCACTTTCTAACAGCGAAAGTGTAGTGTTAAATGTCCCTAGGTATGCATTTGGCACATAAATATTCAATAATTAATTATACATAATTAAATGCTCCTGATAAGGAGTTAAAACAGGACGAATGAAATGAAGGTAGCGTAAATGAGAGAAAGCGGCGCCAACACGCAATTATTGTTGTTGTTTAAAAC